CAGGTCTAGGTGTTTGTGTATTATGGGGGATTGATTTCTTTTTGTTGTTGTTTTGTGTTTCCTTTGTAGTCAGTGTATTACATACAAAAAAGGATTCAGAGTTGGGATTTTAAAATTTTCTTTTGTGTGGGTGTTCACATGTGTATCTGTCTGTCTGTCTGTCTGTCTGTCTGTCTCTCTCTCTCTATCTATCTATCTAGTTGTCTATGTGTACCTGCATGAATTCACATGTACTACAGTGCCTGCAGATGCCCATAGAAGCCAGAAGAGGATGCTGAATCCCTTGGAACTGGAGTTATAGGAAGCTTTATGCTGCCTATGTGGGTCCTCTGCAAGAACAGCAAGTGCTCTTAACTGCTGAGCTATCTCTCCAGCCTTCCACCTTGTTTTGAGACAGGGTCTGCCACTGAATCTGAAGCTCACTGATTGGCTAGACTGTCTAGCCAGCAAGCATCAGGGGCCTCCTGTCTCTACTTCTTCAGATTTTTTACATGGTGCTGGGTATCCAAATTTAGGTCTTCATGCTTACATGGTCACTTTTTTTTAAAACTTTCACCATTTCCTAGTAGCACAAGTTTCAAATAAATTTCTGCAATGTCAGTGAGGACAATTTGGATCAGTTAGGATTGCTTTTGGGGGCAAGTAATAAAAAACTAGACTGAGGAGGCCCTAAATAAAGATACTTTTTGGTTTTACAGAGTGAGTAACTCAGATTTACAATGTGGATATCAGTTCAGTTGATTCATCATGCCAGCGATGACTCTGAATCTTTCTACTTTGCTTTTCTTACTTGTTGCCTTTCAGTCCCAGAAGAGATGGCAAAGATCCAAATATCACAGCCCCATTCAAAGCAGGGAGAGAGCGACACTTGAATGCTCGCCAGCACAGGAGACTAGAAAAGTTTCTAGCCATTCACATTCTCATAAGAGCTCTCCCAACAAGAGAAAAAGTTGGCATATACTGTATCTACCAAACCTTGTTTCTTCTGGCAATTGTATTCTATAAGTGGATCTCCATCTAGCCTGGGTCCCACTTGACCAGTTTCTTTCCACCCACTGAGTCTCCATAGCCGCTTATAAGATAACCACTCAGAGACTTAATATATCTTTATAATTGTTGGGCCATTGGCTTAGGCTCTTATTGGCTAGCTCGACCTATAAATTAACCCATTTTTGTTATTCTATATTTTACTATGATGCTCGTGACTTGTTACCTCACATCTTGCTTCCCTGGTGGCTACATGGTGTCTCCTTGACTCTATCTTCCTTCTCTCTTTCCCTTTGTTCGAATTTGCAGCCTAGCTAGATTCTACCTGTCCACTGGCCACAAACAGATTTATTCATCAACTAACAAAAGCAACACATATTTGCAGCATACAGAAGGACATCTCACATCAGTATTCCATGCATGGTATTGGTTGATTCACTGCCACCCACATAACCTTTCAGTATTTGAAGTGTGGGGAACAGTCTTAGAAATGGAGCATTAGACACCCTGTATATTTTGCTACATATGAACGTGAGCCTTTTTTAGAGGTAATTGTGGGAGGCTTCTGGAGAAGGCAAGCAGCTCTTGCGTAAAAATGGAGTTATTTGTTACAACGTTGGCAAGCTTGGGAAAATATACAAAACAAAAATTTTAAGTGATTTGTAAATCTCCTTTTTAAAAGGCTCCATGCATTGTTAATATAAATTCTGTTCAAGTAAAGCTAAGCATTGTGTTTTTCTACATAAAATTGTAAGACAGTGGTACTTAATCCCACAGAGCTGCCTCTTCACTGCCTCTGAGAGCACACTCTGCTGTATAAGCTTTATAAAAATGTAAAAAGAGTACAAACAACCATCGATTGTCAATGTTCACACCCTAACACTCATCTCTGAGAAGTCTTCCCCATTGACAAAATGAGCTGGGGTTTTGAACTGAGTGTTTTATGATTATTTTGGAAGTACTTATTTCTATAAAATATTCTGAAACAGAAATGCATTTGGGGAAGAATTGTTTCCTGTGAACTTTTCATAGTCACAATATTCTATTAAGTTTGAGGTAAGAATACCACCTGTTGATACCATATCATATTCATTGGCTCACATAGACAAACATCTGCTCACTTTAAAGAAATATTATCAAATATTATTAGCAGATACTTATAAATTATGAGGTTACATGTCTCTCATTAAATAGTTCTTTATAATGCCTTCAGACTTTCTATAATGAATATAGATTGTTTTTATAATGATCAGAATTCACTTTATCTTTTAAAGGATGAAGTAAAAATGAGTATGATTGCTATATCCACTTAGAAATCATTAACAAGAGAGTGCTTTGATCCAAGAACTTGGGCCAGGCTGTGGAGCTCAGCCAGAGAATGTGGGACTGAGAGATTAGGAAGGGGGCACTAAGGTTCTTGTTCCTCTGGGTGCTGGCATTTCTCTTCCCTGCTATGATGGGAGGGACTAAAGGAAGTCATCACAATAGTTCATTCTTCTGTGTTCATGCAAACTATAGATCATTCTATTTTTCTGTTTGACTTTCTGGTCCTCTTCTGTGATACAGATAGAATCAGGGTCATGGAGGGATGTAATTGCATTCAGGAAGGGAAGGGACACAGTCTAAGAAAACAGTTTTGTCTTAATTTTTGTAGATATCTACAACAAATCATGGACGACTCCATGATCATTATCTTAATGTGTAAGTATCCTGTTTTCAGTCAGCATGTGTAGAAAGTAGGACCTCTGTTGTTGTGGGATATTTATATACTGTGTGAAGATATTTTGCTGTGATTGGTTTAATAAAGAACTGAACAGCCAATAGCTAGGCAAGAAGTATAGGTGGGACTTCTGGGGCAAGAAAGGAAGTAGGAGAAGATAATCGAGGCACAGGAGAGATGTGAGGAGATACATAAGAAGTAGGATAGGCATGGGCAGTAGGTGTTAGAACATAGATTAATAGAAATGAGTTAATTTAAGTTGTAAGAGCTAGTGGGATAAACCTAAGTTAATGGCCAAGCTTTCATTATTAGTGAGAAGTCTCTATGTCATTATTTGGGAGCTGGCCAGCAGGACAGAAGAAGAATCATTACACTCTATTTTCCCAAACAAATTGCCTATTCTCTCTTTATTGATTCAAATGTGCCTGTACTGATGTAAATGGGTGCATATGGGGAAACCCTCATCAAAATCCTTCCTGTCAGTTCAATGAGGGCTGGCAAAACTTGTTTCTCCTGAGGCCTCTCATCAGATCCTAGGGATATCCCTTCCTTCAGGGTAGCAATCCATGTTGAGGAACACAGGTCTTAGATACACCCAGTCACCATCTGCTTATGAGAGAGAGTCCTGGTAACAAGCCACATTCTTGTACAGCTGGCAGGTTGCCGTGGATTCACTTTTAATTTCTCCCTCCGACTCTGCCAGTGTTCTTTCACATCCATTTGAGAGTCCTACACTGGGATATGATTTGGAATGTTAATGCCAGCTGAATTGGAAGCCACTCTTTAGAAAGATCTCCCAAGGCTTTCTTAGACTTCACATGGGACCTTGGCTTGGAGTTTAAGGAGCTTCCTCAGTGAGTAGTTAGTGGAACTCAAGACCCATCTAACAGCTGTGTTTTATCCACTTGATTGTTTGCTTTTGTCAGTTTATTGCTCTTGTCATCTGGAGCCACTGCTTTCCTCTTAACACTAGGGACACTAAGCCAGACCAGGCTCAGGGAATTCTGTGCTGCCATTGTATCTAGTGAAATGTGTAGTGGGACCACCCGGAGCCTACAGCCCTCACAGACAAGGATGTGGCTTGACCTGAGAAGGAAGGAACTCACTCATACATGTAATCTAGAAATTGTCTCTTTCTAAACAACAGGGCCATCTGTTTCAACATGATTTGAAGCAGACGGCTGTTCCCTTTTTGCTTTTCTTTCTGAATAAAAAAAATAAAAGAAAAACATAAATAAGCCACACATACAACCCCCCTAATGAAAAAACAATTGAAAAACTCTGTCTTGTAAATGACTTCACCAAATGCATCAGTTTCATTGTACTCTGTGGACATATAAAATATACCCTCCCTCAGAACTCTGGTGGACTAGGTAACATGGATATGTACATGGTATCTGGAAGTCAACCAGACAAAACTAGAACTCTGGCATGCCCCATAGCTCACAGGTGCCCTCTTTCCCAGTTTCTTCTGTGTCAGTGAGGGCCACTCCCTCACTTACCATGTCCAACAATGGTTGGCAGAGTTCTCCTTAGTTATCTGCTTCTCTCTCCTCATCTTTCCAGCAACAATTCTTATTGGTACCTTCCTGGCACCCTCACATTTTCTGTTATCTCCCTGATTTTGGTCGCCATCTATCATCTGGATTAGTGAGCTGGTTACTAAAATCATCTCTGTTTGCCTATGGTGCTGTTCTCTACCAAGACTTGTGATCTTTTAAAATCTAATTAGATCTGGTCATCCTTCATCTATCCCTAGTCATACCTGGCCATAACTCTGTTCACAGACATCTTTAATTTCCCAGAGTCACGAGAATCAAAGCTTTCCCTCTTACCTTGGTTTTCCAGGGTCATTGATGTCTTGACTCTATAACCTTTCTACCCGTAGCTCTTACCACTCTGTTCTGGACTTCTCTCTCTAAGAATGTCTTTCTTCATCTCCTAATGGTTGACATTTAGAGATGATATCCTGATAAATTTTTGGAGCTGGTCCCTCTAGAGGTTTTTCCTATCTACCTGTTGGCATAGGTTCCCACAAAACACTATTTACTGTGTAACTCTTTTTATATGCTACTTACATCATCTGGCCAATGCTGACAATTATCCCCTGCACCAGTAAGTACAGCTGTATATAAGATACATGAGAACAGGGGTCCTATCTGCTTCTATTCAGTGGTCACCAAGACCAGCAGGTCAATGGTTGATGTGGTTGAACAGTCCTAGCTGTTTCTCATGTGACATGGAATGTCAACTCTGGTATCAAAAGATTGTTTCTCCCATTCTGTTTCCATAGTCAACTGGACTTTATGAGTATAAAGTGTTCGGTGTTCTGGAAGGCTGCTCACCAGCTCTACTTGCAGATGTGTACATGGACTTAGACTACAGGAAAACTTGGGACCAACATGTGAAAGGTGAGTAATGGCTTGCTTAAAAAATCATTAGAAAGTTAATCTATTCTTTTTTTTATCTTTTTTTTTTGTGTGTTTTTTTTAAATTTTATTTTCCAGTTTAAATTTAGATAAGAAACGAGGTTGCTTCACAAGTCAGTTCCAGGTCCCTCTCCCATTCCCTCCCCTCCTCCCGTGCCCTCCCCCCAATCCCCCCCCCCCCCGTTATCCCCTCATTTCCCCAGGGAGGGTGAGGGCCTCCATGGGGGTGTCCATAGTGTGTCATTTCATATAGGGCAGGGCCTAGACCCTTCCCCAAGAGTTCGGGGTGAGAGTGCACCTCACATTGTTCTATGGGAGTCCAAAGTCCGTGTGTATACTCAGGATGGGTACTGATCTGCTGCCCAAGGCTCAATAGATTCCCTAGGCCTCCTCAGTGACACCCAGATTCAGGGGGTCTTGATCAGTCCCATGCTGGATTCCCAGGCTAATGCCTGGGATTCAAGAGTTAACCTTTGTCTGGTCAGCTGTTTCTGGGGGTTAAACCAGCCCAGTCTTAATCCCTTTGATCATCAGTCCTCCCTCTCTGTTACTGGCTTTCTTGAGTTCAGCTCAGTACTTAACCAAGGGAGTCTGCCTCTTCTTCGATCAGCCACTAAATAAAGTTTCTGTTTCCCAGACTCTCTGGCCATAGGATTGTAGGCTGGCACTCCCCAGATCTATGTCTAAAATCCATATATGAGAGAGTACATGCCATGTTTCTCTTTTTGTGACTGGGTTACCTCACTCAGGATGGTTTCTTCTAGTGTCATCCATTTGCCTGCAAATCTCATGATTCCATTATTTTTTTCTGCTGAATAGTACTCCATTGTGTAGATGTAGCACATTTTCTCTATCCACTCTTCGGGTGAGGGACATCTAGGTTGCTTCCAAGTTCTGGCTATTACAAATAAAGCTGCTATGAACATAGTGGAACAGACATCTTTGTTGTAGGAATGGGCATCTTTTGGATATATGCCTAAGAGTGGAGTTGCTGCGTCTTGTGGTAGGCTTATTCCCATTTTTCTGAGGAATCTCCATACTGATTTCCAAAGTGGCTGAACCAGTTGGCACTCCCACCAGCAATGGAGGAGTGTCCCCCTTTCACCACATCCTCTCCAGCATAAATTGTCATTGGTGTTTTTGATTTTAGCCATTCTGACAGGAGTGAGATGGTATCTCAGAGTTGTTTTGATTTGCATTTCCCGGATGGCTAAGGATGTTGAGCACTTTCTCAAGTGCCTCTCAGCCATTTTAGACTCCTCTATTGAAAACTCTCTATTTAGTTCTGCAGCCCACTTTTTAATAGGGTCCTTTGGTGTTTTAGAGACTTGCTTCTTGAGTTCTTTGTAAATTTTGGAGATCAACCCTCTGTCAGATGTGGGATTAGTGAATATTTTTTCCCATTCTGTGGGCTGCCTTTTTGTCTTGCTGACTGTGTCCTTTGCCTTACAGAAGCTTCTCAGTTTCATTAGGTCCCATTTATTAATTGTTGATCTCACTGTCTGTGCTACTGGTGTTATGTTCAGGAAGCTGTCTCCTGTACCAATTCGTTCAAGGGTACCACCCACTTTCTCTTCTAAGAGGTTCAGTGTGGCTGGATTTATGTTGAGGTCTTTGATCCATTTGGACTTAAGTTTTGTGAATGGCGATAAACATGGATCAATCCGCATTCTTCTACATGCCAGTCTCCAATTATGCCAGCACCATTTGTTGAAGATGCTTTCTTTATTCCATTGTATTTTTTTAGCTTCTTTGTCAAAGATCAGATGTTCGTACGTGTGTGGGTTAATACCCGGATTTTCAATTCGATTCCATTGGTCTACCTGTCTATTTTTGTGCCAATACCAAGCTGTTTTCAGGACTATAGCTCTATAATAGAGCTTGAGGTCAGGGACGGTGATGCCTCCGGACGTTGCCTTGTTGAACAGGGTTGTTTTGGCTATCCTGGGTCTTTTGTTTTTCCATACAAAATTGATTATTGTTCTTTCAAGGTCTGTGAAGAATTGTGCTGGAATTCCTCTAAAATCAGGAACAAAACAAGGCTGTCCACTCTCTCCATACCTTTTCAACATGGTACTTGAAGTTCTAGCTATTGCCATACGACAACAAAGGGGGATCAAGGGGATACAAATTGGGAAGGAAGAGGTCAAACTTTCACTGTTTGCAGATGATATGATAGTTTACATCAGTGACCCAAAGAACTCTACCAGGGAACTCTTACAGCTGATTAACACCTTCAGCAAAGTGGCAGGCTACAAGATCAACTCAAGAAAATCAGTAGCCCTACTATATACAGATGATAAAAGGGCTGAAAGAGAAATCAGAGAAACTCACCCTTTACAATTGCCACAAACAACATAAAATACCTTGGGGTAACGCTAACCAAACAAGTGAAAGACCTATATCGTAAGAACTTTGAATCTTTAAAGAAAGAAATTAAAGAAGCCCTCAGAAAATGGAAAGATCTCCCATGCTCTTGGATAGGTAGGATCAATGTAGTAAAAATGGCAATCCTGCCAAAAGTTAATCTATTCTTGTCCAATTTAGTTTAGTATACTCCAGGATGAAGCATCTCACCATTTCTGGTACTTACCACCCTGCCCATGCCTTAGAGTCAGTCTCTGTTTTGTCCCCACAGTTGCTCTGCCCTGCTTCATGAGCTGTGTTAACCATGCACCTTGATTGTCATGGAAGCCCTTTTGGAAGATGGGTCTCCAGACTTCCTTTTGGAAGATGAATCATAGGTCTCCAAATAAGCAAAGGCACACACATGTGAGGAAGTGAGAGAGTGGGAGTACGAGTGGCCAGAGGGCACTGGGGGTCTAGGCACCCGCATGAGGGATGGCACACGCTCCCTGCTCAGAAACCACTGGCAGTGGGATTGTTGGGTGGTGATGCTCCCTGCTCACCGCGACCCCCCCCCACACCACCCAAGCTGAAAATATTTCATGACCTATGACTGGAAGAGAATCCACAGTCTACGTAGTCTTCATAATAGAGGTTTTACCCTGGGAGAAACAGAGTTGAGAATCATTGTACAGGGAGACTCTGGCAACTTAGAGGGGAAGTACCCTTGCCATCTCAGCCACTGTGGAAGAAACTTGCCGTCAGCCAAGTACCAGTGGAGTCTTTAGTCAAGACTTCTGCAAGCATCAAAGAAGCAGCCCCTCCCATATTTTAAAAAGAAGAATATATTGTTTGTGGCAGGGAAAGACCCAGGAGTTCTTGGCTTCTGGAGATGTCGCTTTGGGACCTTCAGCAATCCCGTCAGGATGTTTCTTCAGCTCTAGACTGTGTTCCCCTGTGCTGACCTACTTCTTGGGCCGATTCCTGTCCCTTGTGAAAGTGTGCTCCAGAAGACACAGGCTCAAGCTCTAAACATGTAAATAACTCTAGGGAAGAGAGTCACATTTACTTAACAAAAGTTAGCCTGAATCCCAGGATTCACTCTTCACAGCTCATCTTAGTGACTGCGCTTAGTCTGTGAATATTGGTCATGCTGTGTACCAGGCAGCTTCATGTCTTCACATCCCTTTCCTCATTAGGGGACATGAGCACACTTGTCTCTCCGAGGGAGCAGGCTGATACCATCTCACCCTCCCCAGCAGCCATAATGCTGTCATGTGATGCAGACTTTGCCATAGGTGCCCATGTGGGTTCTGTTGGGAAGAGAACAATGTGAGGGGAAAATAGTCTTAAAATCCCTTTGTTCATCGCCAGCTAACACACCTGACTTTAAACATAAAAGTAACTGCAGAGCCTTGTGTTCTGCTACCTACCCTCTGTCTTCACACCAGGGTTTCTGGAGCAGTGGAAGCCACCGTTCCACACTGTTAGCTTTGATAGAGCAATCTGGAAGTCCTTACCTTACTGCTCCTGAATTTTAGGAGTACCTGAGAGCCTTGTGACCATACTACAGGAACAAACTCAAGTCCTGGCCACTTGATCATCATAGTCATGGCTTGCTCCTTTTCCTAGCACTGAAATTGCTACTTTAACTACTTAAACCTCATAGTAGAGATGGGCTGGCAGGTGTGTGTGTGTGTGTGCGCGCGCGCGTGTGTGTGTGTGTGTGTGTGTGTGTGTGTGTGTGTGTGTATACTGAACAGGCAGAGGCAACAGGCATACTCATCCCTTCTCTTCATGACTGTCTTCAATGTCCTGTGGTCCTGAGAGGGCCCCAAAGCTCCCTATATGATAGTCTGTTTCCCATAGATTTCTTTTAAATGCTAATTGCACCCCTGTGTGTCTCCCTCAGGGATGTCTTGGTTCTTCTCTGGATGGTTAGATGACAGCTCACCACACAGCCTAGGCATATGTCTGCTCTTCAGTTCCTTTGTTAGCTCCTCTGAGAGCTGCAGTTTGCCTGTCCTGGCACAAGAGCACAAACATTAAGAGAATTTGGTTCCTGAGGCTGTGGCATGTTATGGAGAAAGAAAAGAAACCTAGGGTTCAGTCACGATCTAGCTGTATAAGGACACAGCCCTCTATGGGCCTTTTGTTTTCCAGATGCCATGAACCTAAGCTCACTAGACTCTGACTTCCTCGGTCTCTGGCTATCTGTAGGGAAGCAAATGTAGATGATATGTGTGTTGGGGGGTAGGGGTCAAAAGCAAAACTCCTGGTACTCTACTGACATCTGGTGGTTTACCTGCTTAAAGCCACTGATTATTTCTTGATACCCAGTTCCTTGCCTTCTATTCCAGCGTGCAGTTGGTGTAACAGACAAGCATTGGGCTTATTTAGGTTTTCTCTGTTTCTTTGTCCTCTAGACCATCCTGAGCATCAGGCTTTCAGTGATTGCAAATATGCTTTTGTTTCAATGTATAGTTCTACATCTGGTGAGTTAGAGGTTTATCACACACCGAGAATACATGGGTTTCTTGAAGCCACAGAACGTTCCGGATGCACTAATTTCTTTTGTTCTCCTTCAGAACTCTACATAAAGGAGTGTGACGGACAGATGGTGGCATACTGGGAAGTGAAGTACCCTTTCCCCCTGTCCAACAGAGACGTATCCTTTCCGCACAGCACTTAGTTCTTGGGCTCTCTCAGTGTCCTGTGTCCCCAGGCACCACCGTCCCACTGGGATCCACTCATTTAAAAGCAGTTGTAGGCAATATTGTCTCGGGTCCCTGTGGAACCATTTGCCAGCGCTATAGCTGCTTTTGTGACTCTCAGAGACCAGAGTGTGATTTCTGGGTGTGACCACATGGGACAGTGACCACACATAGTATCACTAGAAGATACCTCATCTTTTCCAAAGAAAGTGTTCAAAGAGAGAAATGAATGAGCCTTAGAATTGGGGGTCCAGGAGGAAGAGTTTATGAAGAGTGTTGGTCCAGACTGTTCGATCTTACAGAGGAGGGGTGGGGACGATGAAAATGAGATGCCAGGTATCTGACTGACATGAGAGAGCAACCAGGACTCACCCTCTTGGTTTCTAACTTTGTCCCTCCAGCATGGTCCCCTTGACTGCTGTTGTTTGACACCGGGTGCCTTTCCTCTCCATTTCTGTCTTTATAAAGTAAAGCACCCGACTGAGTGGCAGGGAGTTTTTCTCACATCTAGGCATACTGATTACTTGTTTCTGTGCACAAATTCCTGATAACAGTCTATCTAAGGGCAGTGGGGGTGGGAAGTGGCATATGGATGTGTATGTGATGTGGGTGGATGAAGATGCCATGATGAAGCTCATCACCCTGCATACTGTCTTAAAAATTAATAGAAAGTAAAGATGGGCTACACATGCATTGAAGTGTTTACAGATGCCGTTATCTGTTACAGAATAGCGCTCTTGACCTTAGGGATGTCCTGTGCATGCTTTTAAAGGTAAAGTAGCTTTGCTGTTCTTGGTGAACCATTCTTACCTCAAATAGAACATCTGCCTACTAAAACTTGCAGTATCCATGTAACTTCCTACGGTTTTAGATGTGACATGGATACCTCCTACGTGTAGAGGTCTGTGATTGCAGCTGTGGATGAGACCAAGACACATGACTGATACGTTTCTATCCAGGGCTGTTTCTGCACCTGGATTTCTCTGATGCTCCCAACATCCCTTCCTGAGGCCCAATCTCACCTCCTTTCCCTAGAGAGGGAAACTGAGTCTGAGGGAGTTTGGTTAGCTTCCCCGCGATTACAGCTAAGTGAGCAGTGCTCTCTGTGTGCCTTCTTGGAGAAAGGAGGAATGTGAACTCTGTGTAACTGAGCGCTCAAGAGATCATTAACAGGTATCTGACAGTGCTCTCCAAGTGAGACCTCTGCTTGGGGGTGGGGCTCAGCTTTGCAGGGACAGTAGACACTAGTAAGTGAGGTCTCGGTAGGAAGGCGCAGAGTGACTTCCCATTGGTGCCAACGTGGGCTGCTTTCCTCTTGCTGGTGCCTTACCTTGACGGGCTGTGCAGTATGTCTACACCCGCCAGCGGCGAGATCTGGATGTGGATGGGAGGAAGATCTACGTGATCCTGGCCCAGAGCGTCTCGGTACCTCAGTTTCCTGAGAAGTCTGGGGTGATCCGAGTGAAGCAGTACAAGCAGAGCCTGGCGATCGAGAGCAACAGCAAGAAGGGGAGCAGAGGTGAAGCCTGGGGTGCTGGTCAGCAGCTAGTCAGGGCCACATGAAAGCTGGGTGGGGAGGAGGCAGGTTAGGAACAGACGCTGATTTGTTAAAGGTAAACCTGGCCTGGGAACAAAGTAGACCGGAGGTCAGCACCCGGGGAGAGTCTCAACCCGCACCTCAGATTGCCTAGGGCTTGATATACATCTTTCAGTCTGACCCAGTGCATTCTGTTCTTGTTTATTTGTTTACATTTATTTGTCTTATTATTTCATGTGCATGCGTGTTTTGCCTGCATGTGTTTCATGCTTAATGTCTGTGGAGGACAGAAGAAGGCAACAGATCTCCTGGGACCTAAGTGACAGGTGGTTGTGAGCCACCATGTGGATGCTGGGGATTGAACCAGGATCCTCTGTAAGAGCAAGAAGTGCTTTCCAATGCCGAGCCAGCCCTCCAGTGCTGTGCCTTACTCGTGCATTCTTTATTGACCAGATGATATCAGAACACCGAGAGCTGATCCTAGGCGTTCAAAAGAGTCATTTTGGGTTTATCCTACAGCTATAGGGCCTGGGCCTGGAGAGAGGGCCAGTGGATTGGCAGATGCTCATTGAGATGCTCATTGGAGGATACAACTCGGCTCAGCACAAGGCCAGAGACTCAGGAACATTGGGTTCCAGTCCCCAAAAAGAAAAGCATGGGGCATCCACCTTCCACCGTACTGGCATGAGTGTGCTCCATGTCAGGAAAAAAATCTGAACTGCAACTCTGATGCTTGTTAGGTCTGTCATGTAACTCTCTGGGTCTGTATTTCCTCACAGCTCCTTGGGGCAGTTTGGATAACGAAATGAGAGATGATATCCAAGTGTCTAGCATTTATCAGGCAATTGTTCCCCTGGCTGTATTTCAACAGAGCTTCTGTGTCACGAGCCACAAGGCAGGTCAGGGGCAGTTCACTGGGATCACTTGCTCCCTTCCTCTGTGCTCTCTGGGCCCGAATCTGAAGCTAGAAGGTTTGCAGGGTTTTGTTACTGCGTTTTCCCGGCCCCACCCTCACCCCTTCTGAATTGTCTTTTCTTTTCCCCTTTTAGTTTTCATGTACTACTTTGATAACCCGGGTGGCCAAATTCCGTCCTGGCTCATTAACTGGGCAGCCAAGGTGAGATCCCAGGAGGCAGCCAGGGGTGGGGATAGGGGGTGGGGGATAGGGTATGTGCATTTGACAAATGTTGACTTAGCCTGTGGGTTGTCATGTTGAAGAGACACATTGTCCCAGGGTAATGAGACTCTTTTATGAAGACCTTGGTTGAATGACTTGGTTAGAGTTGGAGTCACCAACACCCAGGATGGAGGCTGTGACAAAGGACAAAGAATCTGTTAGTGTGGAATGCCAGCCCTTCCCTGCTGGTGGCCCCAGGCCCTCCAAGATCACCCTCTGGAACTTCCAGACAATAGTCTGCTCCTTGTAGGGAAAATGGTACTTTTGGTATCTGCTTATGGAGGATAAGACAGACGGACTTTGCTTAGAGACAGACTGAAGGAAGCCCCTAATCCTATTGTCCTTGCTGCTTTCATTTTCCAAGGCCAGGGAACTGTGCTAGTGGCCCAGGTCACTAGAGGCTGCCTGTCCTAGGATCCTGCAAAGCTGTGACTATTCGGCAGGCTTTGTATAGGTCCTGTGTGAACTCAGGAAATCCATGGGAGAGTGAGAATACCTGTAGGCGACAAAGGCAAACAGTCATGATTCGGAATCTGGGCTTTGCTACTGAGTGTTTGTGCTACCCAGGGAAACCCCGATTTGCTTCTTTTTTTAAAAACGAGGATGAGTATTGACTAGTGAATGGAGTAGAAGTCAGTAAGACATTATGGAAAGTTTGCACAGTGCTTGACACTAAGCAACTATGATCCCACGCTCTCACCCCAAACTCCATTTGCTAATTCAGTAAGGCAAACCCTTCCACTTGTTTAAGGAAGAGAGTGGTGATATATTGTCTATGATCTAATAAAGCTTGCCTGGAGATCAGAATGCAAAGCTAGCCCAGGCCAGGCAGTGGGGAACACACTAATCCCAGCAGCCACACTAGTTAGTCATAGACACTGGCTGGTGAGATCCTGTGTTTTGTTTTGCTTTGAAGTTGGGGTTCTTTGTTTCCTCTTTTAATCGTTAAGAAGTTATGTGTATGTGTGTACCTGTGGAGGGGGTTTGCCTGCAGAGTCCGGAAGCGGTGATGGAGCCCCTGGGGCTGGAGTTCCAGGTGACTGAGCTACCTGACAATGGCCTGAACTCATATCCTTGTGCTTTTAGACCCTGAGGCGTCTCACTAGCTCCCTTTTCCTTTCTTTTTAATAAATATTTCAAAAAGGTCTCTGTAGTTTCTATGAAAGTCACATGGAAGGCCCTGTCTTTGAAGTAGTAGTCTACCTGGGTCTTGCCTCGTGCCATTTTCTGACCACAACGTGTAGAAATTGGATCAGGGGCCTCATTTTCTTTTATTACCTCTAAAGCCATCATTTATCCTTTGCCACATTCCAGAGAATGAAGAACACCTAGAAACAATTTTTTTTCCCTTTGCAGAATGGAGTTCCCAACTTTTTGAAAGACATGGTGAAAGCTTGTCAGAATTACCCCAAGAAAACCTAAGAAGGACACTGGGCTCCACATCCACCTCTGGATGTGCTCCAACTGATGCTCGGCCTTCCCTCCACACGTTCTGACTTCAGAGGTCGACATGTGTCCCAGGCCTGCTTGCCTGTTGCCTGGTTCCTTTGCTGCCTTTCCCACTGATCTTACTCAGGGCTGACTGCCTTCTTCCACTGTAGAATGGTGGCCTCTGCTTGTTAATTTTTAGTTAGGAAAATCCTCAGTAGAGAAGAGGGACATTCTGTTGTACCATTTTAGGGGGATGAATGAGAGGAGGAAGGATGTCAAAATGTATGAGTGGCAAGCAGGCTCTCTTCAATACTCTTGCTTGAAAATCAGGAGTAGCTGCTGGAGGTGACCTTCGGTCCATAGTTGGCCTTCCATGTCCCAGCATTGGAGACACAGTGATGTCCATTCTCTTTATGCTTTGTTGACTTGAATAGGCTGGGATTTGAGGTAAGAAGCAAGTATTCCTACTTGTGCAGGATCAGTGGCTGCTGTGATACCAAACACTTATGAGTGTCCCAGGCCTGAAAGAGCATATACTGAGATAACCACATGTCCCTAATTGTCCACATCTGGATTTTTCCTTTCCTGTAAACCACAGGGAAAATACTGCCTATGCCTCTCTAGCTGTGCATTTAACTGCAAGCTCAAGGCTTCAGGGACAAAGATGGCTTGTGCACAGCACTATGATTGTGTCTTCCTAAGTAGTAAGGTGGCTTTCCCTTCTAGAATGTTTAGAGATGTTGAAGGGACAATAAATAGTTTACAGCCAAGTAAAACTGAAGTAGTGATTTGGTGTGCTCTTTGCCTTTTTCTCTGGAATTCTACCTCTTCAAATCAAGGACTTTCAGAGCCCTAGTTTTAGCCTGAATTTTTGTAGGAAAATACATTCTGTGGCCAAGATACAGCCTTGTTGATCTCAGGGAAAAGCTCCAATAACTGTGTAAAACTTGATGAACGCATGTGGAAACTCAGAATGCAAAGTCAGAAGAAAGGGATTGTTAAAGTGGCCTTCCTTAGAGTGTGTGTTCTCTCTGGGAAGAAAGGTGTGTTCTGTGAATAAATGCTCAGTGACTTACACTTCTCTTGTGTGCTGTTTCTTTCTTACCCCATTCTTTTGGAAAGAATGAATTGGTTAGGCTTCTTTTGTTTGCACTGACACCTAGACCAGCTCATAGACTTAAAAAATGCAAATTTGTGGCTGGAGAGATGGCTCATCTATTTACAACACTGGCTGCTCTTTCAGAGGACTGTTCAGGTTTAGGGTCACACACACAGGGCCACTCATCACCATCTGCAGCTTCCATCCCAGGGGATTTGACACCCTCTTCTGGTGCCCACAAGCACTGTGTGCACATAATGCATACCTGCAGACAAAACACCCACTAAATTAAAGTCTTTTTAGGAAGAGATAATTTTACAGCTCACTTACATTCAAGGCCACAAATATTTGGCTTCTGGGAGGAACCAGTTCAAGATTCAGCTCTGTTTTTCAGTTTATCTGGATTTAATGGTAGGATTTCTAGTAAAAGCAGTAAATAAGCTGTACCAAACAGGAAAGAAAGTTAGGCAGGAAGGAAAACAGGGAAGGGGGAAGAGGAGGAGGGAAAGGAGGAAGGGAGAAGAAAAGTAGGGAAGGAAGGGAAGAGGGAGGAAGAGAAGAGAAGGGAGGGAGGAAGGCAGATTCCTTGTCAATGAATATTGTTTCGCTGCAATTTAAACTCTATGGCATATGCCTGTTGGTCCTGGGAATAAGATTATTCAAGTAAGTGAATGCTTCATAAATTGCCATTAAACTTTTAGGGATGTGCATCTAATTGTCTTGTATTGTGAATGTAAGTGGGTCCCTGACAACGATCCTTTAAAGTATAAGCATGAAGATCAGAAAGCGACAGTTTTTGAACAGAGGATTGCCATGAAATGGTGTCACTTTAGTCATTTCTTTTCCTAAAGAGGTTTTTGTTCATTTTGTTTTGTTTTCTGGGACAGATTTTCACTGTGTAGCATCCTTGGCTGTCCTGGAACTCCCTCTGAAGGCCATGCTGGCCTCTAACTCACAGAGATCCACCTGCCTCTGCCTCCTGAGCGCGCCACCACCCCCAGCACCATTTGTTTTCTTGAAGAGGGTTTTGTTTTGCTTTTAACAGATGTGACTGTTTTGCTTGTATGCATGTCTGTACATCACTTGTGTATCTGTTGCTCATGGAAGCCAGAAGAGGGCATCGATTGCTCTGGAGTCCAAGGGACAGATGGTTGTGAGTTGTCATGTGGATGTTGGGAGTCAAATCAAGACCATCTGGGAGAGCAGCCAGTGCTTTAACCTCTGAGCCGTCACTCTAGCTCCAAGAAGCCATTTCATTAAACAACTAAAGATTTTGTAGATGCTAAGAATACCAAACAGTTTTATTGTTTATTTGTCTTTTTGTTTTAGACAGAGTCTCTGTGCAGGTCACCTATCGAACTCAAAATCCTCCTGCCTCAGTTTCCCAGATCCTGGGATTACAGGTATGTACCACTGTACCTACTGTCATAATACCAAATTTTAGGAAAGGTACTTAGGAAAAATGGTGAACTTGGGGTGGGAAAAATGGCTCAGTGGTTAAGGCCACATACCACGATTGCAGAATACCCAAGTTTGGTAGCTAGTACCCACATCCAGTCGCTCACAAGTGCTAGGAGAGCCAGTGCCTCTGACTTCAGGAGAGCCGGTGCCTCTGACTTCAGGAGAGCCAGTGCCTCTGACTTCAGGAGAGCCGGTGCCTCTGACTTCAGGAGAGCCGGTGCCTCTGACTTCAGGAGAGCCGGTGCCTCTGACTTCAGGAGAGCCGGTGTCTCTGACTTCAGGAGAGCCGGTGTCTCTGACTTCAGGAGAGCCGGTGTCTCTGACTTCAGGAGAGCCGGTGCCTCTGACTTCAGGAGAGCCGGTGTCTCTGACTTCAGGAGAGCCGGTGTCTCTGACTCCCAGGAGAGCCGGTGTCTCTGACTCCCAGGAGAGCCGGTGTCTCTGACTCCCAGGAGAGCCGGTGCCTCTGACTCCCAGGAGAGCCGGTGCCTCTGACTTCAGGAGAGCCGGTGCCTCTGACTTCAGGAGAGCCGGTGCCTCTGACTTCAGGAGAGCCGGTGCCTCTGACTTCAGGAGAGCCGGTGCCTCTGACTTCAGGAGAGCCGGTGCCTCTGACTCCCAGGAGAGCCAGTGTCTCTGACTTCAGGAGAGCCGGTGCCTCTGGCTTCCACAGGTCCCTGCACTCCTTTGCACAATACCTGTCCTCCTACTTATTCACAATATTAAAAATAATCTTAAAAGTAATTTTGAATTAATTCATGAAATTACAGATGGCTTTTTGGCTTATTTGGAGTAGAGGACAACCCTATATGACATGATATTAAAATTTGACATGTGTGTATGGGGGACACTGGACACCCTGCAGGGCTTGGTGCCAGAATTCAAAAAGGGACATACAGTTGGTCTTCATGGGAGTGCCTGGTAGCTCACCACATGCCTTTCCATGGAGTCTGAGTGTGTCACCCAGAATTGAAAAGTTGTAAACATGCCTCCATTCCTCTACATTGTTGGGCCAGTTTTTCACATGCCTGCCTTACCGTAGTAGACAGTAAGTTGTTTGGATAGAAACAGTTATTTCCCACTAGTTACTGGTCTTAGGAAACTATGCCAGAGGTGTTCAAATGGCAACAAGGGAATAAATGATTTAAGGAAAGTTGAACAAATGATGCAAACTCAAAAGACTAAACCTGTCCTGACAGAAAAGTTCATCTCCATTGATTCAGTCCAATTGACTCGCCAAATCAGTGTTTTGGAGGATTCTAGATTTCCTAGGTTCTCACTCATCCTTCCTTTCAGGGAGTTACTCCTGCCCTGGGGTAGGGTGGTTTTTCTTCTCAGCCACATGAAGTTATACCGTGATGTTTGGAAATGGGGCAGCCTGGACGAAGTGCACCCTAGCTTACCCAGGATTCCAGGTAAAAGCCATTGGCAAAAGCTGCGCTACTGTGGTGCTAAATTCTTTCCACAGGCAAATTATCCCCACTGTAGAACAATCCAGAGTTAAAGATCATCTTGGCATGACGTTCCCAGAGAGGGTCATTTCCCTCGCAAATGTTTCACACTGAGAGCCCTGGCCTCACTTTCTGGTTGCGTTTTCTCCCTCAGGACCCACATCCGCAATGCCTGCCCTTCGTACCTCCTGCTTCCCAGTAGGATTTGGAAGAGGCAAATCAGGAAGACACCACCCAGTCAGTTCGGAGGGCTAGCTATCTGTAAGAGCATGGAGACATTGAGTCACCTTGTAGGTCTTTCTCCAAATGCTGGTGTCATCACGACCGAGGGCAGGCAGGCTGGTTCCTGGAATGCATGAATTGGACTGGGGGACCTGTCTGTCATCTGCCTTCAAGGAGCCTGTGGTGTGCTGAGGAAGTCACAATGAACAAGTTTTTGAAGAATGGAGAGTGCTCAGAAGGGACACATGAAGGCTGCTTTCACACGGGACACTAGGCGAGGTTGAGGAACGATGGAAAACTGTAGTTTGGAGTTGGCTGAGAGAAGGTAGAGGAAGAAAATCATTCCAGATGAAAAGGAGTCCACAGGGCTGGTGTACTCTGCATGACTGAAGTAACATAAAGCCAGGAGAGATCCTGAGAGTCACATGAGGACTCAGGATCTGATATCTAAGCCACCAGTGAGTTCTGAAGGGTTGTTACTGGAGGAGCGATCTGATAAGATTTATTCATTCCTAATGCCTTCCATTTTCCCCATGGCCCCTTGACAGCTACAATCATGGGATTCCTTTTGTGTCACCTCAGGGGTTCCCTCAAGGTTCTCAAAGCCTTCTCAGTGTGTTCTGTGTCCCATGAAGCTTCTAAAGCAGAGAATAGCTCTGATGTTCAACTGGAAAAATAAAAGAAGGTGAAGGTGGACATCCATGTACATCTTGCCTCTCCTGCTCATGCTGTGCATCATATGTCACGCAGCCAGTCAGAGCAAAACCATCGCACAGTCCAGAAGTGAGAAAGAAAGCATGTGAGGTGCTCAAAAAACCAAATAATTCTTTCCCTAAAATACTCCTTCACTGTAGGAAAGAATATCTGTTTTTCGTTTTCACTTGAGAAAACAGAAATCTATTTCATGACTGGGTTACATTTGGAGGACTTTAGATAAATTATTGATTAACTTGAAGTTTCTGAAGGGACACAGTCCATCATGGCAGGGAAGGCAGAAGCAGGATGATCACGTTTCATCTGCACACAAGAACCAGAGACAATGGGCAGGGGGCAGCCTATAAAACGTCAAAGCCCACCTTGAGTAACGTACTTCCTCCAGAAGGCTCCACCTCCTAAATGTTACATAGGCTTCCCAAAGAGCACCACTAACTGGGGACTGAATGTTCAAATACAGACCTATGGGGGAAGCCTATAACATGTTTCCATGAATGCATGTATGTGCATCTATTCTTGTGCATGTGACTGGTCCCCGTTGCTTACTGTAAGAAATGGGGACCAGTCAAGTGCACCCTTTATTATGATAAGCAATGACACAGTGACAGAGCATGGCCAGGATTCCTGTCATCCCGGATATGCCAGGTAGCATCCATGATCATGGAATGACTTCTTCTGTTAGGACACTCAAAGTCTGCAGAGACATAGAGCATGTGCATGATGATGGCAGGCATGGGCTCATCAAGCTATAAAGGGAAACTTAACACAAGCTTGCCACACACTGCTGATTATCCCATGGGATCCCAAGGGAACGACTTTCAGCACAAGATAGTGAAGGTGTGGACATGGAACCAAGTGCTGGCCAGTGTCAAGAATGCAATATGAGCTTCTCTCCGCTCAGGGGCCTCTAATGTGAGATCTCAATTGTCCCCCCGCCCCATTCACTGTGTCTGAGAGATGATGAGCCAAAGATGAAAGCAGAAGGTCGAGCATGGCAAACTATTGTTGTGATCTCTTCTTCTACCTCCCCCGCTTTGACCCCAAATAGAAGGGGTGCCACCAGGTCAGGCACAATTTTCAGAATTTTTAAACTTTGAGTATAAGTCATTTAGTATTTCAAGGCTTTTTCTCTCCCTTTCCCCATTATTATAATTTTCCTTTTCATTTTGATTCAATACCTTTAGGAGATAACATATCAGCAAGAATGATTTTACTGGTTGACCTGAGAGAAGGTGGGGGGTGGCGAGGAAGCAAATAGGGATGAAAGAGAAGGCCATGCCACTTGCAGGACAGTAACCTGAATGTAAAGAGAAGTACCGTTCCCTGGCCAGAGCCGGGAGCAGGTGAGGAGGGCAAGCATACCGCATCTACCTTGTCTTATCTGATAGACTCGGTTCCTCTGGATCAGCTCAGGAGCTGAGAAACAGTTGCTGGAATCCAAGCAATATGAGAATGGTACTTAGCTCCTTGCAAGCCATACAGGGACTTTTGTGCTATGTCACGCAGCTTTGGAGGGCCCAGACCCTTGTTTAAGTGGTCATGGCTTCTGCATCCCCATGAATGTGGTGTTTCATTTTCCGAGAGAGACCAAATAACATTCTTCATTAGGAGTCTATATTTCAGGCCGGGTATTGAATAATTACAGGCCCGCTGAAAGCTCCCAAGAAGAGTTTACCCTCCACTACACAGCTTGGCTGGCGCTCCCATTCCAGCTACTTTAAGCTCTTGTAAACAGCATTCGTTTTCCATTACAAGCTAGGAAATGTGACTGTGCGCAACAGTGCCCGGTCCCTGGAGAGCGTCTGCTCCAGAGGCCATTTCCTCACATCTCACTTGCCTTTGTGACTCTCCATGGAGAGGTTGGATAATCTCCGAAGCTCCCCACCTTCCCATCTGATTGTGTTCCACCAACTTATAAAGCGCTGACCTGCCTGAGGACGGCTGGACCAAGCAGATGTTTCCTGAGCAAAGACAGTATGCATTTCCCCTCGTACATCATCTTGTGGGAGTGGGAGTTGGGGGGGGGGGCTGGCACTGCTCTCCTGGGTCTGACATCATTGGGTGAGGTGGCCTGGGGGAGAATTTCAAAGCGGATCAGCTTGGCCAGGGAAGAGCTCAGCTGGCAGCTGTATTCTGGGATTAACTGACCCAGATAACAGGGAAAGACTCAGCAACGTAAGCATGTTCCTCCTCCCTCAGGAAGTCAACAAGCCTTCCTCCAACTTCCTGAAAGCAGATAGGCTATGGGAGGACCCCTCCCCCATATACGCACACACCACGTACAGCTAGGATCATATCAGCCTCACAGCTGCCCATACCTACTCCTTATTTTCCCTGACCTTGCTTGAGGTCGACATGGGACAGCTCAGCTGACTACATACAGTGAGTAGGGGAAACAAGATTGAGTAGATTTTGGGGATGTAGCTTGGTAGTAAGTGAGCTTGCTGATTATAGAAGCTTGGAGTTTCAGTCCCAGAACCACACAAACTGCGTGTATTGGAGCACGCCTGTAATCCCAGCACTCAGGAAGTTGAGACAAGAGGATCAGAAGTTCAAGAGGCCACATGAGACCCTATCTCAAAAACAAAAAACAAACAAAATATCATCTCTCCTCCCTAAGCAGCATATAGAAGTCACACCCCCCCACACCAATGTGTGGCTTGAAATGGTCTCCTTATATATCATTAGCTTAAGGATTTTTAAGATTCAGAAAAAAAAGGCTGTGGAGGACGATTGACCATGGTTTCCCTGCTTCCTCCTAGAATGCCATTCAAGTAGAGAGAGAGAGAGAGAGAGAGAGAGAGAGAGAGAGAGAGAGAGAGAGAGAGAGAGAGAGGGAGAGAGAGATTCTTGTTTTAAAAGATGAGTTTAACCTTTTGAATCCACTCACGGGACTGTGGTCACACTCACCGTATCTGAAATACCTGACCTAAACAGTGTCCTATGACCTAAGATCACACCCCAACCCTTAAAGCTATGCCTCCCCTCCTTTTTTGTTCCTCTCTATTCTCCAAACACATGATCTCATCAATCACTCCCACCCTCTGGGTTGCCCTTCCCCCAGCTCTGGTGCAGTGCCCAGGGCAGGCAGCATTTTCTCTTGGCTCTGGTAGTCTGCCCTCCTGGCATTCACTTACTGGTGTAATGCCCTTCTCTGTGTGTGGGCTGGATCTGTGGACTTGCTTCTCAAAAAGAGGCAAGCACAAAAACAACCAATGGGGCATCTAAGATCAGACTGGACACACTGAACCTCCTACTCTCATCCATGCTCTTCCTCTGGCATTTCTTACTTTCTAAGATAATATAGAGGCCGTTTGCAAGATGCCTTGCAGTAAGACCAACAAGGAATGGAGGGTGGCTTCTGGTCAATAGCCACTTAAGAGCTGAGATGCTGGTTGGGTGGCCTGGCAGGAACTGACTCTGCCACCAAGGTCCTGGGTAACTTAGAAGCAGAACCTTCTGAGTGGAATTTTGCAGTGCCCTTGTGAGATGCCATGCCAGAGCGGCCCAGTGAGCCATGTGCAGGGTACATTGGAAGTGTACGCCCACCTCATTTCTGATGGGCATGGCAGGACTCACAGCATCATTAACTCTATGTGTAGAGCGATCTTTTATGTCGCCAACATCTAGGAGGTCCCCAAAGTCCCACATTCCCTGTTGTCATCTCCTGGCAGGTGTATGTATATGTGTAGGTACATGTACATATGCATGCGTGTATGTATTTGCATGTGTACAAAGTGGAACCATTAGTTGGACTCCACCATCTACTCTCACCTGAGCTGTAAGAGGCATTTATGTCCAGTTTTGAGCAACGACGATACGATCCTTGTCTTTCCTGTCATTTTCAGCTGTGCTTGTCACCTCTACAATTGTTTCTCACCCATTTTCTATCCAATAGTAAGTCACAGTGGTACTCTAAGTGTTGTGTCTAAGTTCACATTCATTTACACATGCATTTATGCAAACACCAACAATTGTATTTGAATACGCAAATTCATGAGTACATATTCATATGTTATATGCAAATATAGCTATACATTAACATAACTACCACTTTAAGAGCATTATTTCTGTTTCTTACAGTACTTTTTCTTTAATTATTGCATGTTTGTGTGCACATGTCTGTGAGGGAGGCATGAGAATGCTAACATGTGTCTGTGGAAGCTGGACTGCAACTGTGTGGAGCTGGTTCTCTCCTTCCGCCTTTACATGGCTTCTGTGGATCAAACTTTTTAGCCCCTTGCCATAATCTTTTAGGATCTTATCAATTAAAAACTCCATCCTCTATTCCAGAATCCCGTTTATTCAGTCTCTCTCTCTCTCTCCCTCTCTCTCTCCCTCTCTCTCTCTCTATATATGTTTATAACATGTATTATATACTGATATGCATAATATATTATATTAAAATAATGTCTCCAGCTGTGAGAGAACTCACAGTTCAATGCAATTATAATTTTAGTAGCCTATTTTTCCTGTTAATTCAAATTTGTACTTTTATGTTCTTAAATCAATCATTCATACTATTACCTTGTAATAACCAATTTTCTCTCCACAAATTTTTTCCCCAAATTTAAACCTGCTAAGCCACAGCTCCCGTAGCCTCCACTTGTGTAACAGAGTGTTGGCTGGAACAGAAGATGTTACCCTAAACACAGTGGGCTTTTACCAGGTAAGTGTTGCGCCCTTACCTGTTTGCAGTGTGTTAGGATTTCCAGGAAGACAAGCTTCAGTTATTTTTGTACTTCTCCATCTGACAACCCTCTGAGACTCCAGTTCCTTGCAGACTTTGTTTCCTTCTACCCACCATGTATTTTCTCTTCTATAGATAACTTGTCAAAGAGTGCATTAGCTCCATTAGCTGAATCAAGTTGTCCTCACTGGGATTACCTGTCTCATGTTCACCAAGATGTCTAAGGAAACAGCTGACTCAGTACCTAAGCTGGTCATTGGCTACATAGACAAACACAATGTTATCCTCTACCTCTTATAGCTAATGGTATAGTATTTGAATTTTAATAATTGTGTATAGACTCTGTAGTTGTAATTAGTAGTGAGCATACAGAAATTACTTGTAAAAAGTGTCAGGCTTAATAAGCAGCTACAGCAAAAGTTTATTATAAAATCTAGGTCATGGTGCATATGGGTATTTACTATGCAGTTCTTTTAACTTGCCATATGTTTTAAATTTACCATAAGAAAATATTGGATAAAATTTCTCTCTCCTTTATAAAGTCTATTTCATTTAGTCTTCATTCATGGAACTATGCACCCCACCCTCTTTGCAATGCTCCCTTTGCTTTCTCAGAATTTCAGGATATCTCTGTCTCTTTCCAGGGTTTCTGTGAGAAACTGCATGTCCTTGAAAAGACAGTGGAACCAGGAGCCTGGAGCCTTTGAACTTTGTGTTTCCAGAGAAGTCACAGAGTATTACCAGATCTTACCTTTCTTATCCCTAAATTGGGGCATGACCACACTTACATCCCCATTTATTATTTACACAAATAAATAATGAACTTAATCATTTTGCGTATTTTGGATGAACACAGCATCATTGCCACCATGTTTCCCCACCTACCTACTTTCTATGTGAGTTATATTTCTCCCCCTAAAATTTTGAAGAAAGGAGATAAGGCCCACTCATGCTCTTCTCTTCACGTGCCCCCTTTGTTTCATTTTATTAAAGCAAGGTCTTGCTGTGTAAGTCCAGATTAACCTCTGCCTCAGCCCCAAGTGTGCATCAGGGTGCCCACATTTCACCCCTACTCACTGAGAGTTAAACCCCTTAAAAACTCAAATCTGCTATATATTTTTGGGTGCTCTTGTTTAGTAAGTTAGGGTCACAGATATGAATCTCCCCCCCGTCCCAAAGATTCTTTTTTTGTTCTGATATATGACTGATATCAGAGAAGTACTGTGCATATCTGTCCAGATGGGATGTCATTGCTATACGCTGTGAATGCTCCATTTCCAATTTCTGTCTTCAGTGTGTTCATATTATCTGAGTGGCCTGATTTTACTTCCTACATTGCTATTTTTCTGCTTCCGTGCTTGCAAAAAAAAGTGTGTATCCTTTTCTTTTTCTTTTGTGGTAGAGGAGGACTGAAGCAAGGTCTTATGTAACCCAGGCTAACCTTAAACTTAATATGTAGCTGAGGATGACTTTCAACTCCTGAGCCTCCTGTCTTCTCCCAAGTACTAGGATTATGGGTATACAGCTGCTATGAATCCTTAAAAAACAAATGCAATGCTACAACTTCTTCCCAAGATTCCTTGAATTCCTCCTGTCAGCTTCTACTCATGGGACTCCATTCTGTCATTCCATAGCATCAAATATTGTGTCCTGTTTTCTACTAGATGATAACCACTGTGCAGTTAAGGATCTTCCATCTTCCTCTTCCTGCTAACAACCAGCAGGCACTTAGCAGAGGTGATGCATGGGTGTTGGAATAGATGAATGATTAAGGATCATTCTCCTGGGCCTTAGTCTTTTCCTTTAGGAAACGAGAGTGTCAGATGACCTCAAGGGCACTGAAATGGTATGACTCTCATTCCTGCCTAAGATTAATCACTCAAATAGGTCACTTGCACTTCAACTAGCCTTCCTAATGCCAGTGCTTCTGCCTGGGTCAGAAGAGTCATCATTTGAAACAAATGACATTTGAAGGCATATCTGTGCCTTCTTGCTGGATCTTTGCTCTTAGTTTCTCAGTAGCTTTTTTCCAAGGATACCGATGCTACTGTATTCAGCTGCCCAGTGTACTCAAATCCCAACAAACATAAATGAACCTCTTACTCTCACTCCCCAGTATCCTAGGTTTGTTGGCTTAGACTCATCCTTTAATACATGTTTTGATTCTTGGAAGAAGGAATGTCTAAGATCCCCTATTATATCATCTTGTCCTGTCTATAGACCCTGCAGATTCCAATCCCGCTGTGATGTGTAAGGCTATGAGAGTACCTCTATCATCCTTCTCTCCTTACTTCCTAAGTTTTAAATCTGCTCTCTGTCCTTCACCAGCTAAAGCTTATTCATTGTCTGAGGAAGTGAGTTGAGAATCACTTTCCGGAGTGGATTTCCTACTTCTCTCTTGTAGTTCTTGGAAATTGTTTGATGCTCATTTGTGTTATTTCTAGACTTAATCGGTAAATTTGCTTGTTCAGTGTTGAAGCATCGCATATGCCCAATACAATAGCTGCCTAAACCAGTGAACGAATAGTTAGTGTCAGCCTTCACAGGGAATGAACTTCATAGACACAAAGTAAAGCCCATCAAGAGTGAGTGTGTTAGTGCATCTCATTTTATAGCTCCCAAGAATCTTGAGGTAATAGCTTTTCCCATGTTGTAGAGAGAAGTGTAGCTTTAGAAGGGATGCCACTTCTCAAAGTTATTCTATGGTCAGAACATGGTAGAATTGAATTTGAATTTCAGCCAGCTCAATGAAATTAACTATTGTCTTCATTATATCACAGGAATATGCAATGTGTTCTGTAAAAGTGGCCCAAAAGTCCATAGTTCACTTGTAGATAAGATAAAATTTAATACTTAAAAATGCAATCACTATGCATTGGGGGAGGGATGCTTGGTCCTGCCTCAACTTGATATGCTGTGCTTTGTTGACTCCTATAGGAGGCCTTACCCTTTCTGAATGGAGACAGAAGAAGAGTGGATGAGGGAGGGGGAGAAGGGAGATGGAGGGAGGAATGGGAGGAGAGGAGGGTGGGAAAACAGTGATTGGTATGTAAAATAAATTTAAAAATTAATAAAAAATTAAATCATTAAGAAAGTATATGTTTTTGCAAATCAGTCAAACATGACCATACTTACTGTAGCACATGGAAGTCTTCCTCTGGTTGTGTTTCTCAAGACATGACCACATTCACAGAGCTGTATATATGCACACAATGTGATGATTTTAATTGCTTTGCCATCTCTCAATTGAGCTCAATAAAACTTGGACAACCTTCCATTTAACATGTCCGTGTCTGCCTGAGAACTTGCCTCCTGCACTTTATTCTTTTATAGGAATATTTTCTAATTTGGTAAGTCAGTCTCCCACTATGGGCATTTGGATGGCATTTCATCGGGTCCTCTAGAAAGAATCCTACAGCAGTTCCCCCTGAATATATGCTTGTGAGTCCTCATTAAAGGTTTTCTGTCCATCGTTTCTTAAAACTAGGGTATATTAGGAATGAGATAGATGCAATTGAAATTGGACTGACAGAAATTCATAGAATGAAAAAAAAGAGCTGGATCCAGAGAACAAAGCCATCGAAGATGGGGAAAGTCAGATCAATAAAGCTGCCTAAAAGCATAAGTCACATTCCTTTATTTTTCCCAAGAAGTCTCAGCATTTCAACCCTTTGTGTGAGCCCTAATGACAAATTCCTGGCCCTGCCAAGAGACCACAAGTTATTTGTCAGTTTGTCTATTTATCTTCCTTCATGTCTCTCCAGTGATGAAGTCCCCAGAGGTTAAACACTCATTATTAATCTTACCACAAGAATCTCAGAAAACCAATGTTTGCTGCCCTCTGGTCCTCCGTTTTAATGACTCCTCGCCACACACAGACCCTTCATTGTGCTATTCACAACTTTCTAGATGAAACCAAAGGCTCAATTCAACTGTAGTCAAAGAAGACCAATTCTACACAATTACACACACACACACACACACACATACACACACACACACACACACACACACACACAGAGTCCTCTTTGCACCAGCAAGTAAAACTTTAAAATTGAATGAACATGACATGAGATGTTTCCAAAGAAACTTTCTGCCTGCCATCAGTTTTATTAAGGGCACCAATGTGCAGTCACATTTAATGGTGTTTATTTTGAAACATGTGATGTTTACCCTTGAAAGCCTATTATGCATCTCTCACCTTACTGTGAACAAAAGGGCATTGTAACTTCACATAGTCTGTAGTCTGATTGCTTGCTTAAATTTAGGTCTGCACTCAAATGAGTAAAATACTTGAGTATCAGTCATCCTGGAATCCAAGGGACTTATTCATGGAGAATGTGGGGCTCTATTCATGGATGATTTATGTCTTTGCATAAAAGGGGAGTGGGGGACTGTGTGTGCTGCGCATAGAGCCATCGTCTGCCTCTCCTGAGTAATTTATACAAGATCAATATTTATCAAGGTGAGCCAAGAATGGTACCATAACTCTCCAAGAGCCAAATACTTCATTTTCAGCTCTTTCACCCATGGAAAGGAGTGTGACAGATTGAAATGTTTGTGTGAAATGACTTAGAGGAGATTCTTCCATGTTTCTTGGTGCTTTGGATGCAGTGTGATGCTTCTGAAGAAATCACATATTTGCATCCTATATGGTGTTCTATGACCATCACAAAATGGGTAATAAAGAAAAGCATTTCTTGAGTTAATGACAGAAAGGAGATAATTGACAGTGCCTCCAAGAGAAAGGGAAATTGGCCCATTTTCTTACTCTGTTAGTGTGTGGTAAGTGAGCACCTGCTAGGCAATTTGCATTGAGTAAGGACACAGCTATTATTTGGCATGATCTCCTAGACAGACAGATACGTAAATATTTGGAAACGTGTGAGTGGAAAGTAGTACCCTAGTAAAGAGTTGTAGTGATCAAAAGTAGAGATTGACTAATTCTATTCAGTGGGTGTTAAATGGACAGACAGCTGGGATTAGGGCTCTTGGAAGAAGAAGTAATAACATGAACAAAGGGAACACGAAAGACCTTTGAATTGTGGGTATGAGAGAGAATAGGTTGCTGTGAGATCTTACAGAACTTTGTCACCAGTAAAAAGCTAAAGAATTCCACTAGGAGTGTAAAAGTCCCAATGCTTATGCTATAAACTCTTACCTTATTTTATAAATAAAAGGAAACCCATGCTTATGGGTTTCTAAACATGTGTCAGATGTGGTCAGATTTCTCTTAGGGAGACATCTCTGGCAACACAATCCATACTATTTGGTAGAGAAAAGTTGAGAGGAGATGACAAGTAGGCTTAAGTTTATCTCTCATCTTGAGAAGTATTTTAAAAGCCCTGTCTGTCCTCAACAGAAAATTCTCCACTAAAAGAGAAATTATAGCAATGGTGATTTTCAGAAAGGAATGGGTATGACAGCAGGTAGAAGCTAAGTATATGCCATTACTGTGTTAGCAGTGTGCTGGGAAGTCTGCAAAAGAAGTAACTGTTCTCAAACTGGGACACTCTCAGCTCTCAACGGGAGAGTATGACAATAACGTTACCTGTAAGTGATATACGACATGTTATACATTCTATATAATGTAAGTTACATTGCATAGCACATATACAGTTATGAATTATTCAAGGAAGACTAGAGGATGCTTTGCAGAGCCTGTCATGTAGAGCAGGATCTTTGCTAAAGCAATCATAATTAATTAAGGCAGGGGAAGGGGCAGGAAAAGAAGTTGATGACAGTGAAAAGGAGCAGAGGACTATGAGGGCTTTAGTATTAGGCATTCTAAATCCCAAGAGCACAGTGGAGGGCTGCACAGGTGTTCC